AGAGTGGCTTATTTCAGCTAGTCCACTTTCCAGATGCCAATTTAACTCACCAAATGACCAGCCCTTGAGATCAATAATTAGAACAATGACAAAAAAAAAACCAACCCAAAAAACCCAGTCTTGATTACCAAAATGGAAATCCAGTAACATTTTGCTAAAAATGCTATCAATGGCATGACCTCTGTTTTAAATATATATTAAACCAAAAATGCTTCTGGTCCCTAAACTGCAAACAGTAATAAATAAATCTGCCCAAAGTAAAGCAGTAAGGCTTTTGAACTGTTGTTTTTAAAATTTGTATCTGCCTTTTCTTATATCACTGCATGTTCCCAGTTCATCCACCTTGGATGAAATACTTTTGCTTAGTGTATTAAGTCACAACTACGGTAGGCCCATTGAATCAGTGGGGATTTGTGTTATTGTGTTGGACTTAAGATGACAGAATGTAGAAATTCTCTCTGTACAGTGTGATATCATGAAATTTCTGTTACCCATCTATGAGCTCTTTAGATAGAACAGCCTGTGAATTAAAATTAATACATTCTGGTAGAAAAGACTCCTGACTCCAGCCAGCTCTGCTTCCACAGCACATTGGGGCAATCAAAACCTCCAGCAGGTGGGCTCTTAGGCTCCAAGAACACAGGTTCAGCACTTTCTGTTGGATAGCTCCCCGGATAAGAAAACTGACCAGCTAGTGAGCAGACAATAGTCAAGAGTTCCTCTATTTTCTATTTGTCACCAGAGAAGCAAACGTTCCGTGCTGTCAGCTCCCAGCAGAGTGACTTTTTCTAGCATTAAACATTTCATTCAGTGTCTATGCTAGACGATTTCATAGAAATATTAAACATGGGACTTGATCGTACAAATAAATTAATTAACATGGGTCCCTCTGCCCAAACAACCTTGTATCAAGAAAAGGATTGTCCTGGTGGATATAATTATTTTATAGTGCAGTCATCATATGTGTTGCTTTTACTGGCTAATGAATGCCAATAAATAAAGGGGCAGGTCTCTTCCCAGAGAGGTTTATAGTCTAAAAGTGGACAGTGAAGGAGAGATGAGTGAATGCGGATACATATACTGGAGGTTTGTTTCCATTGGAATGAAGACTAAGGGTTATGTCTCTAAGCTGTCTGTTTGGAAGGAAACCGGTTCACACTGACTTGTCTGACTGCACACCCACCACAGGTGATCCTATGCATTACAAAGGATTCTACAGCCGTATCCTAGGTCAGCTTTTCTCATTGTGTTAACATTCAGATTTGTTGGGCTATGACTCCTAAATCTTCTGAGTGTACATGGCCAGTCAACCTGGTGATCACTAGGATGGGGAAAGCTGTAGTAGTTTGCATTAGATACTGCTGGGAAACTATTTGTCATCCAAATTCTACAGACTGCAACTCTGATCATCCTTCACCCTTGGGAATGCCGAGTATTGTTTCTGGGAGCTAAAGTTCAAAATGACTGGAGGAAAAAGGTCCCACATCTGGCTTAGGGCACTGTGTAACTTTATTGGCCTTCATCCTTGACTCAAGTGAGTCCTGTGCCTACTCATTGTTAGGGAAGATCGATAGTGGTGATGTGTGAAGCACCCCAGAGTTTCCCAAAAGACATTTGGGAAGTTACCAGATTCAGGCTTTTATCTCCAACAGAGGCCAGGCGAAAAGTCCCTTAAGAACTCATAAGGAAGGCACACAGAGATCTGGGACACAAACCATTGGGAACGTTTCCAGATTCCTTGACACCAACCATTTGAATTAATTCATCATTTAATTCTTAAATTTATATATCAGCTTTATAGATATATTCCCATAGTGGTTAAATTTACAGTTTGATGGTGGCTAAAATGCTATGATAAACCCTTTGTTCATTTATGTCTAACCCACCCTAGATCAATAGATCTCAGCAAAGGTGCTATCAATAAATCAAGAAAACCCTATTCATATCTATATCATATATATTACATAAACCATTTAAAACAGTTTCCAGCTTTAATCAAGTTTAAATTCTAGCAAACAAAATAATCTCTGAGAAACAAACATTTTTGCCTGCTTAAGAACATCTCAATGGGCAGGCATGCTCCTGTTAAGAAGATTCTCAGTCTTATGACCATCGTATCATACTCCAGACCAATGGTTCTTAACCTGGGGTTACTCAGGTGTTTTTGAACTGCAGCTCCCAGAAACCCCAGCCAGCACAGCTAGTGGTGAAAGGCTTCTGGGAGTTGCAGTCCAAAAACACCTGAGTAACCCAAGGTTAAGAACCACTGCTCCAGACCACAACAGATAAAAGTATGAAGAGGATAGGGTCTGTGGAAAGGGTCATATCTCCATTTAAGCAGGATGGCACAGACAATGCAGAAATCTCAAGGATACATCTCAACTTGTTACCAGTTGACTTCCTGATGCCAGGAAGAACTGGTAACCAGCTCCTTGAGGTCCTTAGTCAGACATCTGGCTGTTGCAGTCCAATATCATTCTTGACCTGGGCATGTAAAAGCAAGCTCACACTTGTTTCTAGCAAATGGTGTCTAGAAATAATTCACATCTAGAAAATTCAAAATTAAAACAGGAAATTCAGAACTGTATCTAAGCAGGAAAAAAGAAAAGAAGCAGGGAGCTAATGCATGCACTCCCGAATCTGTTTATACAACATGCAGCACATTTGTGCATAGAACACGTGGCCTGTGCTTCCCAAGGATACAGTGATAGTTACTTGGAGCCAAACTCCCTGCAGTCACAACCACTGAAACGGAGTCTGCTGCCAAGATGGGCAAAACCACCACCCAGGACATGCAGAAGGCACTGAAGTGGAAAGGATTTTGGATGACAGAATCACTTCAAGAGCTAATGCTTTGATCTTTACACCATGCAATAATTCAGTGCAGATCATCCAGGAATAAGGGGAGATAATTGCTTCAGGTTTTCAGAGCATGCATCACTTCCCTAGCCTTAATGGGTATGTGAGACAATGTGGTTCAGCAGACAGAGCAGTGGAATTGGCTTTGAATCCTCCTGTGGCCACAGATACCTTTTTAAAAACCTTGTTTCTCAGTTAGAATTTTCCCAAATCTGTATCTCCTGTAACCTTGTCCCCCACCCACCCAGCAGGTTGAACTATACTATCCATGATGGCCTATCAGTGTGTTTCAGATACTGCGTTGGAGCAGGTTAAAAAATAATAACTTCACAAGAACTTCAATTACAATACAACCACTATCTCCATATCCACTTTGAATTTTTTTTTTAGTTTGTAGTGTGGAAAGCATGCTCATTGTACTTTATACATATAGCTGTAATAGAATTAGCATTGCTTATGCTGGATCTAAGAAGGTAAAAGCCCTATGAATCATTCTTGGTAGCACATTTGTCAATACAGTATTATATTCGAGAAAAATAAACTTCATTCATTCATTCATTCATTACATTTCTATACTGCCCCTCTTGTGGAGAACCACTACTCTGAGTTAGTCAAATTTAGAAGATAATTAACATGGCTTCAAATTTCTCTGCACTGCACAGCAAACTCTCTGCTCCTTGCTTAAGCACATTGTTCTGCTTTTAATTCCAATCCCAAATCTACCTTTTCTTGCAAGGGTTTTGCTTCATCTCTTAATCTTTCCTCCCAGTGAATGGGATTTGTTCATTGTCATTTTTTGCTACCCCCCTACCCCATAGTTTTAGGCTGCCAAATCTCTATTTTACATTGATGCAATTTTATAAAATGACATTTAGACATGCATGAAAGTGTGTGATGTAGTGATTAGGGTGTCAGAGTAGAATATTTTTATTTAAATCTTTCTTGACTTTTTGTGCAAGAAGATTCTTACCATTTACAGTGCCTTCTGAGCTACAAGTCCCAGATTCTTCCCAAACAGGTGTTCTTATTTATTGCTGTTTATTTATCACATTCATATCTTCCTTTCCTTCCAATAAACTCAATAGAAGACTGACTTTGTTTTTACTATGTCCACACAACAACTTAACCAAGACCTCCCAAGACCTGCTTATCCAGGCCTTGATAAGGTACAAGTGAGGCAAGTTAAACCTGCAAGTTAATAGTACACTTGGGTACCAGAGAATCAATGTCTCTGAATTCATGCTGGAGAATACAGGCTGCAGAAAATCAAGAGAACTTCTCTGTAAAATTCTGCATATGTGGTACTATGTCCTCATTGGATTATCTATTTGTTGGTGGTTGTTTCTTTTGGCCAGATATTATTGGATAAATGTTAGCAATATTAAAACTCATTGCAGGCAATAAATTAAATCTACATTTTCCTTGTCCTTATTGCTGGATGTCTAAAATATGATGTCTAATTATGCCGGATCAATGAGTTACTATGTATACTATGTTTCCCTGAAAACAAGACAGGGTCTTATATTAATTTTTGCTCCAAAAATGCATTAGGGCTTATTTTCAGGGGATGTTTTATTTTTTTTTTCATGTATAAAAATCTACATTTACTCAAATACAATCATGTCATCATCTTATGGTTGCTGCACAATGGTGGAGGATGGGCTTTCACTAACTGGGTCTTATTTTTGGGGTAGGGCTTATATTATGAGCATCCTGAAAAATCATACTAGGGCTTATTTTCAAGTTGGGTCTTATTTTCAGGGAAGCAGAGTAGACAACAGCCAATATTTTACTAGCTAAACACTGGCAAACTCCACAGATACTATCAAAAGTTCAATAGCCCTGTTTATGAACAAAATATCTAAGACAATGTGGAACAGATGTTGCAGTTCTGATAAGATTGTTAGTGAAGCAGTCCCTATTTCTTAATTACAGGAATACTTGTTAATTGGATGAAGTTTGTGGCTCTTGATAAGTTACCTCTAAAATGCATTGTTAACAAAATGTTCTACAACAATATCAGTTTTTGAAAATGGGAAATACTTAAAATGAGTGTAACTTGATGAAGGAGTTAAGTGTGGGCATGCCTAATGCTCAGTCCCCTTTCAGCTGATGATAGTTTCTGTTCTCTCTCTCTGCAGGTCCCTTGCCTTAGGGCAACAGTATACTTCACTGGGCTCTCAGCCAATCCTGTGCGGTTCCATTCCTGGCTTAGTGCCCAAGCAACTTCGGTTCTGCCGTAACTACATCGAGATCATGCCCAGTGTGGCTGAAGGCGTGAAGCTGGGGATCCAGGAGTGCCAACACCAGTTCCGGGGGCGGCGTTGGAACTGCACTACCATTGATGACAGTTTGGCCATTTTTGGGCCTGTTCTAGATAAAGGTACACCATAAGCCTTGTTAGAGAAGCCCCCATCACTATATTATCATCAGCCCAAGAAACAGGGCAAAGGAAACCCTCTATTTAGTTTATCCTGGGCAGAGAACTATCTGAAATTAGTGATCTGAAAGTAAAAGGGACTGATAGGTCTTTTTTGTCATGGTCAAACCACTTCCTATTGAAGTACATTTGTTATTTCCTGCAGGGTTGAAAGGGGACCATTAAGAAGAGTCTACCTCAGAGCCTAACAGAATCTGAGGTATTACAGGGCTTTCCTTATCTGCTTGTTCTGACACTTGAGGTGTGAGTTGTATCTTCCCATATACGTCTTAAGATTTTCAAGAGATTGCTTTCTTTCTGTCCCAACACTCTCTCAAGAACATTTGTTAAAGATATCCAAGAAGAACTTCTTGATGGCTGTTCTAAGCTAAGGCTTTCCCTTCTGAGGAAGACTGGGCTGCCCCTGCTGTCTTTCTGCTGTCCGGCCATGACATTTTCATTGAGGCAGATATTTAGCCAGTGATTGACTGTTGAGGAAGCACTTTTTAATGGTGGATAAACAAGGGAAAGGCCATGTGGTCCCCAAGAGCACACAAATGTAAGAGTGGCTGATATCTTTTATTGGACCTCTGAAAAAAATCAAACCAGTTGCAAACTTTCATGGAGGAACCCCATTTCATCAGGCTAGGCACAACCCCTCCATGGATAATTCAGAAAAACTGTAGACAAGAGTCCAAAAATTGATGGCTGTTATATCTATTATTGTCGTTTTTTAAAATTATTTAAAGTTATGTTAATTCAGTACTTGATTTAATTTGATAATCCCCTTAATAGTGTTTTAATATTGTCATTTATAGCTGCATCTGTTTTTAAAAATTAAGTTGTAATAAACCGCCTTCGGTTGTGCAGGGGAGAAAGGTAGGATGAAAGTTAAAAGAAATTAATCTGGAGGATTTATCAGATTCCTCTACATCCCCTTGCTTCTTATTCGGTATCAACTACTATAGGAATCATTTTGTTCCCAAGAAGTCATGAGGGGATCTGAAGTGAATCTTTCTGTAGCTACAGCATCTGAATGGCCTGTGAAGTCCCTAGCCCCAGAGCGGTGAGCTGGATAAAACCCAATAAAGTGTCAAGTAAATCCTACTGAGAGAAAGGCCCTGGGGATCAATAATCCTGATGACAAATCAATCAATTAATCAATCAATCAGTCAGTCAATCAATCACCTTTTGTGGGGGAGGTTTCTCAAGGAAACTTGAGGAATTTCTAGAGGAATACTGCATAATCTGAAGATGTTCATGGATAGATCCATAGTGGCTTCAATGGCTAGGAGTACTGTACTATCAGTGATTGTTGGTAACATCCCGTGATTGTTCCTGGACCAGGATAGTTTGATCTCAGTTGTCTAAGCACTGCTAATCTTAGGAAGGGATCACTTCAAATTGCTCTATATGGGCTGCTTCATCTGGAAACTGCTCCTAGTATGGAATCCAGCAGCTGGGCAGTTTAATGGAGCAGCCTGTCATCACCACTTAACACTTTTGCTGAAAGAACTGCAGTAGCTGCTTTTATGCCACTAAACTGTAGAAGGTGAAGGTTTTGCTATTAATCTGTAGTATAGGAATAGGAACAAGAGAGCCTCAGGCATGGTCTTAGCTTGTATGTCCCTGCCTGGCATTCTGGTAATCAGAAAATGTACTTTCTTATGGATTCTTATTCTTATTAATATCACATGTGCCAACGATATTTCTGGTCTTGTTTTAATTATGGATGGGCAGCTTTAGTGACTCAGGGTTCAGTTTTGCCATCAGCTGGAACTATTATAGACAGCATCCCACAACCACTGTTGTGTCACTGACATTTGTGGCTACCAGACTGTGACAGGATTCTGGAAAAGGCCATTAAAATACTCAGGAAATATTTATTTTAAGGGTTTTTCACCATTTGGCAACAAATGTTGGCAGCGAACCATGAAAAGATCTTTCAACTGATTTGCCAGGTCCTAGCTAGTCTGTGTGGCCTACACATGAGCAGGATTGTCTCCTCTGCAGACACATTGATATCTATATAGAGAGAGTGACAACTGGTAGGTCTGCCAGTTAAGGTAATGGCTGAATAGGACTAACTGTCATCCAGTGGGGTAAACCTACATAACTTCAGGCACAAGGTGGGGATCGCCTATGTACTGCATGTACAAGTTCTTCCATTTAAACAACATTCCCTGTGTGTAGAAGAAGCATCTCCTAGAGAAGGCCGGGCTAGAAATCCCCCTCCTAGATTTTTTTACATGAGAGCTATTTCATCATTGTTGCTCCTATGGAGAAATGTTGAAGTAAGTGAATGAATGGTTACTTAGATTGCTTTTTGAAGTGCTTGCAATACAGTCTGGTTCACTCTATTTGCCAACAACCAAATGGCATCCTTTAGATCAGGAACCAATCCAACTCTGCTCTGTGCCCAGTCTGGACGTTTTTGGTCGAGTGCAGAACTGCTCTTTTTTTTTTTTTTTTTTTTCAAGACTGCTCTTTTTTTTTTGAGACGGCTAGAGTGATGTAGGTTAGATTAAATTTGGATAGAAGGGTCGCTTTAAAGAGATATTTTAAAGATTGCACTCTCAAAGTGACCCTTTCCAGCACAATCAAGCACAATCATTATTACATCACTGCCTGATCACATCCTGAGTTGCCTCCTGCAGTCTGAAATAGAACTATCCAAATCAAAGCTTACTCTCCCAGGAAAAAAAATGGGCTATAAGAGCAAAAGGAGACCCGTGAATAGCAAAAGCAAAAAAGGGATTCTAAATAATTCAAAGGTGGGTCTCATGGTTCACGGTGGGGTCAAAAGGTGATTCTTAGGTTGGGAAAAGTTGCTGATTACTCCCACATTAGGAAACCATGGTATATTGGGGTAAGGGAGACCGATTATGTTTTCCCTGGAGCAAACATGTAGAACAAGACCTGCATCTTGAGGGCCTCTGTGCTTCAAGGGAAATAAAAGGCTGGCTGAGCAGGCTGCAAAATGGCCTACAGCATTGTGATAACCCAGCCGTGTTGTTTAGCTGTGACACAGATGACAAATTTGCATTAAAAGAGGAGATGGGATATATAAACACAAGTGATTTAAAGGCAGCAGCGCGGGTGGTGGGGAGGAAAAGAAAATGAGCTTATATGCAGGAGAAAAGAGCTAAGCCTCAATCCCCACTGTGCACCCAGGGCAAGGGATATCGTTCCAGACCTTGAACTGTTTCACAACCCCAGCGCCATTCACACGCCCTTTTGCTACTGGGAGCCCAGGAGGGGAGGACCGGCATCAGAGGTCTCTCAATAGAGATTTCCTGAGCCTGACTGGTGGGCTCGTAGGGGGACGGCAGGGCAGGGTGAACGCACAGGCCTCGTTGCCAAGGGGTGGCCGCAGGGAATGCCAGCGTGGGTACTGCTGGGCCTGGCGGAAACATTCCACATTATGTGGGTAATACAGTGTGACACACGCAAACAATAGCAAATTGAGTGTCCCAGCAGGTAACAGGGTCTGGATAGGAGACCATTACAGTGAAGCTCTGTCAAGAGCCCCTAATCCACCCAAGCTTTGCTCCCCCACCCTCACCCTGGCCCCCTGATTGCTTCTGGGAACTTCAGTTTTATCACTGGGAAATCTCTCCAAGGCAATCCCAACCCCCTCTCCTAACTCCTCCTCAGGCACCAGAGAATACCAGGGCCAGACTAGAGGGTGGGAGGATGGGACAAGATGAGGAGGGCCGGGTTTTTTATGTTTGAAGGATGATTTCTCCCCCCCACCTTCTGAGGGCTCAACTGATTTCAAGATAGTAACTCTAGGATAGCCTTGCTTCCAGAATTAATGAATTAATTACTTTTGGGACACACAACGTTACCACTTTTTAAGGCAACGTTCCAGGTGGCGGGAACGGCTTTAACCCACTGTTTCCTAAATGCCTGAGACCACTTCTCTTTCCAATGTATTTTGGAAGTACACTTCACTGCTTCGTGGCAGAACAAGGGTGGCCTTTAAATTTTGAAGAGGAGAAAACCCACCCTCTACATTTTTTAATATAACTTACTGATTCTTTAGAAAACATTGGCCTAAATTATATGTGTATCATGAGAAACCAGTCTGAAAGAAGTGATAGCCTCAGTTATAGCATACCAGAGTGGTCTGGTAGTCCAGATAGGCGGGGTATAAATCAAATAAAAAAATTAAAAAATAAAATAAAATAAAAATTGGAAATAAGAAGAGGCAGAATTTTGGAAAACTCTTATTGACTGATGTTTTGTTTCTGCTCTGGGCCCAACCAAATGATTCCATTAACTATATGGTAGAAGGACTTGTCCTCAGTGTCTGATGGGAAGAAGCTAATGTCAGAAAAGAAAATCATACAGACACATGGTGAAGCACTCTTCTCTAAGGGTAGGATGATATGTTACAAATAAGTGCGTTACTGTTTAGGGTGACAAGGAGGCATCTGTGGCCTTATTTCAAAAAATACTGTAATATTAATGATCATTAATGTTATTAGATTTTTTGTGTAACAAGTGATGCTTTCTCATTACTTCAAAACATTATTATTTGGGGGCATGTGAGGTATTCTAAGTGATTAAAAATAATCAAAAACTTACCAGTGAGCAGCATTAGTCGGTGCTCATGAGTAACAATTTGCCCCTGCTTGATTGCAAAGTGGAATGAAAGAGGGTCCTTAACACTGCTAACCTGTTTTCAAAGACATATATGTACCTATATGTTGCCATTGTTGCTGTTTGCACGACGACTCCCAGTATACAGCAGCCCTTTATATAGCAGTGAAAGGAAGGACAAATGTTGTTTAACTGCTAACAAAATAATTAGGCATCCCTTATCCACCTTTACTTGCAGCCACACGAGAATCTGCTTTTGTCCATGCCATTGCATCAGCTGGTGTGGCATTTGCTGTCACACGCTCGTGTGCAGAAGGCACTTCCACTATCTGTGGCTGTGACTCACACCACAAGGGACCACCAGGTGAAGGATGGAAATGGGGAGGTTGCAGTGAGGATGCTGACTTTGGTGTGCTGGTTTCACGCGAGTTTGCAGATGCCCGAGAAAATCGCCCAGATGCCCGCTCAGCTATGAACAGACACAATAATGAAGCTGGAAGAACAGTGAGTATTTTTTTTTACTCTCTTCTGAAACCACAATTAAATAATAGTTCTGTCCCCCTTTTGCTATGTATTCCTGGTTAAATCATTAGTTCGGGAAAGGCCAAAATGTAAGAGCTGAGAACAGAAAACACCTAAGAAATATACTTACCCCAGACCAAAGGACTAGCTTGTAGGAAGTTTTGGTAGTTATGTTAGCAGGATATGGCAGAATGACAAATCATTCAGAAAAAATATGTATTGTTCCAAGAAATCCATTCAGAATAACACAAAAGAAACTCAACTTGAGACCAGAAGTCCCCAAAGCTGGCATCTCTGTGTGCAACTATTCTGAAGGCCAACAAGGAAACACCATCATAGAAAACCAAGGAGAACAAAGAATTTCCTCATCTAAGTGGCAGGGATAGAAAGACAACAGTCTACAATTGGGGGTCACTTGCACAAAGGCATGACAGGACACACACATTACTGTAAATACAATATTGTTGTACTTATTCTAATATTCTCCTTACTGGTTCCCAGCCATTCAGGCTTGGCCAGTCATAATCGCACACACTCTCTCACCATGGCTCAGACTCACAAAGAGACAGAGGAAGAACAGAAGGAGAACCAGACAGCAGGGTCTTAGCAGGCTCTGACAAAGACACTTGGTTCTATGCTAGATTAGCTCCCACCAACCTGTTCTCCTTCAGATGTTTTGGCTGGATTACACATCCCATAATTTCATGCTGCCAAGGACTGTGTGATCAGGTTTCATTAAAAACCATGTCATGGTACCACCAAATTGTAGAAGACTATGTTAAGTCATATCCCAAATGCATTTTTAAACACCCAAAGAAATAAATCAAACACTAATCGTAACTGAAGTTTTAAAAAGGGATAATGGTGCAGTTTCTCTTGATTATCTTGAATAAATTCTTTATTGTAGAAGAAATAATTGTGTGAGAATGGAGAGGACAATTTCAAAATGTAGCTGTCCAAACTAACGTTGGATGAATTGAGAGCATCTTGTGCCAGCTGTGCTGTTCTCTTGATATTAATTAAAATCACAGACCTGTATGGATTGTGCCTCCTGTGAGTTGAGCCAGTCTGTGTGACCTTGGGCAGGCTACAGAGTGCCAGAAATGCCACCAGAAGAAGGGAAGGGTAAATCACCGAGTATTCTCTACCTGGAAAGCCCTGGAAAGATTTGCCATAAACCAGAATAGTTTTGACAGCACCTGATTCTTATTTATAGACATTTAGGAGGCAGTGCCGAGAGGTCAGTGCAACCTTCTGCAGCTGGATGTCTCCAAAAGTTTTTGGAAATCAGTTTCCATCAGTTCTAGCCAGGATAGCCAATAATAATGAATTCTAGGACGTGTGGTCCAGAAGGTGTGGAGGACATCACATTGGGGAAGATTTATCCTTTTCATGTTTTGTATATTTTAAAAAGTACTCAGAGAAGTAGAAGAGACTATGAAAATACAAAGGGGTTTCTCAAAAGCACACAGAACATTCCAGTCTGAAAAGCAAGAGATGCTGTTTTATTATCAGAAATTCATCAAAAATACTACTTGTTAAAACAAAAAAATCTTTGAGGCTGACCAAGTGTTGGCACACAGATTAGCAAAGAAAGTCTGTCTTAATAGAGCAACCAGAGAAAGGGGTTTGTATTCAGACCCTCATCTTCGTGGAATTTGTGCATTATTACTCACAGAGTCACCATATAAAACTCCAGGAATACTAACTAAATCTGGGTGAAGATATCCAAGAGCATAGGACTGGTATAGAGAAAATATGGAGGTCTTAGTTATCAGATCCAAGGTCAAGAAGAGTATGGTACACCAAAAGATTTTAATAAAAATCCCAACAAATTCGTTGGTCCTAAAAAGTTTTCTGAAACACATTCTATTAAATACTTTAACAGTTACTTTCATTTAACTGCTAATAAAGAGAAGTATCTTTTATCATAGGAAGCATAAAAGTTACAATCTCGTTTGCATTTATTTGGGAGTATGTCCATGGGATAGTATGCAACTAATTTGAGTTAATATGGACAGGACTGTGTTGAAAGGACTAAATCCAATGTATGCAAAAAAATCTAGCAATATCCAGAGTCTTACATGGTCTAGTGTAGAAGCTATGAATCTAAGTAGCAAATAATTTGATCTCTGACATTAGTGATAGTGTAATACATGCTAATCTAACAGCCTCGCTGCTCAATTACAATATGTCAAAAGTAACTCATCCACTGTTGCTTAGAAAACAAACAGCTGAAAACAGGTAGGCAGACTTCACAGTTGTAGGATTTGTATGGTTTCTTGGTAAAACAACAACAACAGCAATGATCCACCCAGTGGATGGTTTAAAAGGCAAAGAATTCTGAGACCTACAATTTGTTTTGAGTACAAGATCTTTCACAGTTCTTCTGCTCAGTCTTTGCTCAGTCTCCACCTTTCACAGTTCTGCTCAGTCTCTCCCTCCACTCCCAACTTTATTTATTTCAATCTGTATAAATCTGGGACAACTATGTTGTCGCTGCTGTTAAGCATTTGGGAATCCTTGCTAATCTAATCCAGTCCCTCAGTGATCTGCCAGTAGTTTCAGATCTACCTTCTGTCTACCCCTGCTCTAAAAAGAAGTTAATCATTTATTATCATCCAGCACCTTTATTAACTGAAAACACTGGGACTTAGATGACAGATTTGGTCACAAGACTAAATAAGATAAAAAAATTACTTCATATTTATTCTGTATTTGGGGACATGAAGTTGGACAGTGTTCAAGTCAAAAGAAAGAAAGGAAGAAGCCTTTGAGAATACAAAGAGAAAAGCCTTAGTATTTCCATGTGGAAGTGGGTCTGTTCTAATCTGCTGAAGTTCTTTTGTGTACATCTGAAAAAAAAATATTTAACTCATTCTATCAATAGTACTTACCACCTCTTGTTGTTACCTGCTGTCGCTTCCAACTCATGGTGACCCTATGAATGAGCTTTCTCCAAAATGTCCTTTCCCCAGCTGCCCTGCTCAGCTCTTGCAGACTAAATCCTGTGATCTCTTTCAGGAAGCCAGCCCATATTTGGTTTTCCTCTTTTCCTGCTGCCCTTCCACCTTTCCCAACATTATTATATTTTCTAGGGAATCTTGTGTTCTCATGATGTGCATAAAGTAGGACAGCCTCAGTTTCAACACTTTTGCCTCCTAGGATAGTTCAGGCTTGATTTGATCTGAGACCCACTTGTTTGTCTTTCTGGCAGTCCAGGGTATCCGCAAAGCTCTCCTCCAGCATCATATTTCAAATTAATCTATTTTTTCTATCAACTATCTTTACTGTTCAGCTTTCACACCCATACATGGTGACTGGAAATACAAGAGTGAGTCTTGGTCTCCAGTGACACATCCTTACATTTCATTATCTTTTCTAGTTCTTTCATTGCTGCCCTTCCTAGTCCCAATCTTTTTATGATTTCTTGGCTGCGGTCTTCATTTAGACTGATGATTCAAGAAATATCAAATCAACAATCCCTTTGCTGTAGACATGGTTTTACATCAGCCACTTTTTATGCTTTCTTAAATTTTCAAGGCATTACAGTATTGTTAAGAGATAATTCATCTTATATTTATCAGTTACATTCAAAATGTTCAGCAATTTTTCTCCATGATTTGAAAAGAAAAGTTAAATCTTCTGACTTGAAACTTGTTAATTTCAGTATGACCGGTCAGAAATCAATTAAATAAAGGCAGGGAAGTGGAAGTCATCAAAGCTAAGGTGTGCTTGAAAATAATTTGGCAAATAGTGGATCACTAAACCCTGGGTGAACTGCTTCCATTTCTCAGGCTACTCTAATGTTTAATTTCCAGAGATTTAGATGCTCACATCTCTCTCTCTCTCTCTCAAACTCTGTCTTTGTGACATATGGAATTTTTTTTAAAAGGTGAACAATCAATAATAATATTATTTAAATAATATTTGCATCACGTGAACCATCAATAATGCTATTATTTAAATAGTATATCATTCATAATAATCTGTCTCTTCAAGTCAGCAGCCCAGGTTTAGTAGAGCTGAACCCCGTGAATCACCAAAGTGGTATGATTTCTTCAGCAGCTCAGGTTCTGCAAGACATTTGTTAATTGACTTATGAAAGGGAGTGTTGACCTGTCTTGAAGGTGACTTGTTTTGATGTAGCAAGCTCAGTTCCTGGAAAGCTCCTCTTAATTTGCCATACAGACAGATTCCAACTTGTGTTTCCATAAGGTTTGTGTTACTTGAGATCTCAGAAATCTGTACTCAGAAATCTTCTGTACTCAGTTTCCTTCCTTAACTATATCCTTAACATTATTAATCTGCAGGTAGAAGTGTCTCTGAGTTACCAGGTGCTTTCAACATAGGTGAGCTAGAATCCGATAAAATGAGATGTTCCAGGTGGCTAACCATTGACCTGCATATGGGGAAGTTATTTGTTCGGATTACAGCTCCCAGATTCCCCCAACCAACAGCCATGTTGGCTGGAGGAATTTGATGGCTGTAATTTTTTAAAATGTAATGATTCCGAGCTCTGCCTTTGGCAGGCCATTTGAGTTTTTGTCCAGTTGTTTGAAAATTGGGGGAAAGAGGCAGGCAACAAAGACGGTAAGATGATCCCAGTAGATATTAAGTAGCAAGGACTCTTGAGTCTTGATTCCATAGTTGTTTTTCCAGACTTGACCTTCTGTTTTGGTTTTCTTCCGGGTAGACTATCTTGGACCACATGCACCTGAAATGCAAGTGTCATGGCCTCTCTGGCAGCTGCGAGGTTAAAACATGCTGGTGGGCCCAGCCAGACTTCCGGGCCATTGGGGACTATTTGAAAGACAAATATGACAGCGCTTCAGAGATGGTGGTGGAGAAACACCGGGAATCTCGCGGGTGGGTGGAAACCCTGCGCGCTAAGTACGCTCTCTTCAAGCCGCCCACCGAGCGCGACTTAGTCTATTACGAGAACTCGCCCAACTTCTGTGAGCCCAATCCCGAGACTGGTTCATTTGGCACACGGGACAGAATGTGCAACGTGACTTCGCATGGGATCGATGGGTGTGACTTGCTCTGCTGCGGCCGGGGCCACAACACCCGGACGGAGAAGCGGAAGGAGAAGTGCCACTGCATCTTCCACTGGTGCTGTTACGTTAGCTGCCAGGAATGCATCCGGGTTTATGATGTGCACACCTGCAAATGAAAAAAAAAAAGGTATGCAGGGGTCAAAAAGAAACGCCGGAAACAAAAGTGGATTTTTATGAAGTGGGAAGTCTCCATTCATTTTCTTTTTTTCTCTCCTTTTTTATTGTTTTAATAACTTGAGTTAGGGTATGGGATACAGAAGGTAAGAGGGGGTGTAAGGGAAAAAAGGGGGGAGGAGAAACAAAAATATACTAACATCCAATCTATTCATGTTCCAATATCAAAATTCCAACTCCGCTTTTCTGCTATTTTCTGCCTTGCAGATTTTAGTTCATGTTTTGATCTATGTTATTCAAGCACTATCTGGTGACTCTAACCATTTGCAAAATAAGTCCCATCTTTCAGTTGCCTTTTGCATAGGACAGTCCTTCATCACTTCTGATAGAATGTCCGTTTCTGCCACTTTCCTTCTCAGTAAGTTCCTCTTGTTTCGGTATCGCCGAATTTCTCCAGTTTTTAGCATAAAGAATTCTGGCTCCAGTGACTATATATATATAATACCAGCTACTTGACTCATAATCACCCTGGGTGGTTTACAACAGTGAGAATAACATAAATAACACAAAAATAAAGCAAAAATTAAAATATTACATTTAAAAGCACACAACAATTAAAAATGGTAGGCAGGTACTCTCAGTGGCTATTTAGATGGCATGTTTTGAAAAAAAAAACCTGCCAAAATAAAGATTTGAGGTTTTTCTTGAAGTTTCCATAGAGAAGGCCAGGTGGATTTCAGCTGGTAACTCATTCCAAAGCCGAGGTGTGACTGCCGAGAAGGTCCAGTTCTTTGTTTTCTCCTTCTGGGTCTCCCTCGGTATTTATGCCTTCAGTAGACATTCTGCCATGTACTGAGGTCCTAAGCTGTTTAAGGCTATTTCAGATTTAAACTTCATTTCAAACGCCCTAGCCAGGAGGAAGTTGATTTCAGGCTTCTTTGGTCTACTAGAGCCCTGAAGGCCACTAATCAGACCCCAGTATAAAGCAGTGTATATTTTTACTGTATTTGGATTCTTACCTTCAAGATAAACACTCACTGAAGTGAGACCCTTTTTGGCCAAACAAGCACAGCATTTCAGAAGAAATGTTTTAGGCTTGTTTGTTTTTAAAGCAGGATTTTTAGTGGATTTGGGCTGCAAAAGTACCACAAGGACCAACATGCAGCTACTCTTTCCAGGGTTTTCAAGATAGAGGGCACAGAGAAGTGGTTTACTGGTCTGTTCTTCTGGGGGCACCCTGGGACTGGGTTGCCTGCCCAAGGTCTGGTTCCACATTTCAGAAGAAATGTTTTAGGCTTGTTTGTTTTTAAAGCAGGATTTTTAGTGGATTTGGGCTGCAAAAGTACCACAAGGACCAACATGCAGCTACTCTTTCCAGGGTTTTCAAGATAGAGGGCACAGAGAAGTGGTTTACTGGTCTGTTCTTCTGGGGGCACCCTGGGACTGGGTTGCCTGCCCAAGGTCTGGTTCCATACATAGCCAAATACCTAAACCACTGAGCTATCTTTATTATTTGTTTTTAGTAGTGTATTTGTTATGGATTGTTTATGTAAAATCTGTGTTTTTATTGTATATATTGTCATTGGAAGCTGCCCAGAGTGGTCGAATAGACCAGATGGGTGGGATATAAATCAATCACTCAATCAATCAATCAATCAATCAATCAATCAAACAAACAAACCACTGAGCTATCCAGCCCTCTCCTCTGATATATTGTTTTTAGTAGTGTATTTGTTATGGATTGTTTATGTAAAATCTGTGTTTTTATTGTATATATTGTCATTGGAAGCTGCCCAGAGTGGTCGAATAGACCAGATGGGTGGGATATAAATCAATCACTCAATCAATCAATCAATCAATCAATCAATCAAACAAACAAACCACTGAGCTATCCAGCCCTCTCCTCTGATATAAATACTGTAATTATTATACAAAGCTCACAGTTTGGCTAGCAACAGGCACATGGGCAGCCATCACAGAGATTTAAAAACAAGAATGAAACTGTCAGTTGTAATTCTTTTGGCTCCATTTTGTGAGTCAGAAACTCTCACTGAGGTATTGCAAATGTTCTAGAGATCTGTAAGGAGATCCAGATCTACCTTTCATCCCTGTACTAGCCAACTGTGAGACAGCGCTTAATGTAGATGGACATGCAATCCAGACAGCAGTATAGAAGTAATCCTTGCCTAAGTTATAAAATGCTGCTGACAATGACTGTGGTAAATCCTGTAAAGGAAATATTTTGAAACACAAAATCTGCAATTTAAGTAAGGAGTGGACAACTTTGGCAGGTTGGGAAGCTTAACTCCTGCTCTCCAGAACTTGCTACTGCTAAAATTGCTGTAGCAGTAAGTAAATGCTCCCCCCCTTTTTTGCCTGTTAACTTTGAAACAAGTTTTGTGCAAGGTGCACACCTGATTTCTAAGTCTAATAAGCTATCCATGAAAATCTCCGAATCCTGTTTTGATCAGAAGCATGGTGTGAACACTTTGTTCATATAGCAAACAGCACTTCTGTGAGGCTTCCAAGACTGAGAATGCCCTAGACCAGTGGTTTCCCAGAAATCCTGTCCAGCAAAGCTAGCAGTGAAGGCTTTGGGGAGTTTTTGTCCAAAACATCTGGGGACACAAGGTTGGGAACCAACTGCCCTAGAATGTGAGGTGAAAAAAAAATTACGGTTGAAAAAACCAAACAAGTGTTTGGTTTTTGTCATACTGTATTTGCATGGGGGGTTGGGAGGGGCTAAAAGTGAGTGGGAAGCGCAGGTGGCCTGTAGGCTGTGTGTGACCTCCCCTTCGCTTAAGTGCTCGTTAATATTAAATAAAATGATACATTCATTTAAAGAGTGTAGTATGTTCTGAAAATCACATTTATTTTATCATCTGGTCACAAAAGTATCTCTCCACTTATTTTGATCCACAAAGTAGTTAAATCTTGCTACAGGGACCACATGCTACGGGGGGTAGGGAGGGAGGAGGAAAGATAAGAGGGTTTGCTATCAGACTGCTTAAGGCAAAGATCATCTTCACCATCTTAGAGCTCCAGAGCTGGAGAGGACTCTATAGATCATCAAGTCTAGCCCCTGTCATGGAAGCACAATGCAGAACTGAACTCCAAACCTCACTATCTAAACCACAAAGCTATCCAGCAGTTTGAAGTTGAAGGAGTGGATTTGATGACACAGAACCAAGGGCCAAACTATGCATTCCAGATATTCCGTCATCAGAAGAGAGTTCCTTCAAATGCTGAAAGGCACCTGTTCTAGCAGAAGCCATTCATTCCTCCCAGTTTGCAAATATGATTGCTTGGTCACGGAGGCTTTCCCAAATTACATCTCTGGAATGGTAATGTTTTTCAGCTTCTAATGACATGTTCTCTGTAATGTAGAATTTGGTCCTCACTTTGCCCACTGCACGGTGGAGCCCCTTTGGTTCCATTATCCTCTGATTCTTTAAAGAAGTTCTAGGGGATAGCATGGCTATTTACATCAAGACTTCACATGATAAAGCGGAGACTTTCTTTTAAAAATGTGCAGAGTCCTACAATAAGAGGTCTAGAGAACTAGAGAATTTGCTCATTATTTTTGATGCTTTAATTCATTCTAACAAATGTACTGTACTGTGCTAGTCTAATTTTTTTTTTACTTTTTCTAATGGACCAGCATGGCAGGCTAACTTTTTTGAAGATGAGATTTTTTAAAAAAAAATCTTTCCTAATCTAGTTTCCATTACTACCCATACAACTTACAGCCGCTTTAGACTTAAAAATAAAACAAACAAGAACCATTGCAGGAGATCTGATCAAGCTTAGGGGGAGATATTGTTAAGACAGAGAACAAAAAGTGGGGGGAGGGGAGGCACTCTAGGAAGCCATCAGGTGAATAAAAGGCATTGACTAATATTGTGCTCTTCTCTGTTTGCTTATTTCCTCCTCCTAGAAGAAGCCCCTTCATAGAGTTGGAGCATCAAATGGAAGAGAGTGAGCGAGTGAGCGAGAGAAAGATAGAGACTGCCAAGAAATCTTACAATTGCAGCCCAATACCTAAAAACAGAGAAGAAAAAAACAGACACCTCTCCTTGTTTCCTTGGAGTGAAGACAGGCAACAGTAGAGGAAGAACCTATCTGGAAATCGATGCCAGAAGACTCTGCGGGACCCTCTGTTTGTTCTGCCAGCATCTTCTTCCTTTACCTATCAAACAGGTTGGCCATGGTTGCTGACATCAGGCCACACAGTTCCAGGGGGGTGTCCCCAATTTTTTGGAGGTTTTCCTTTCCCTTCCTCTTCTTTTTTGCACATGTCAAAAATAGTATATATATGTTAAACCCTAAGAAAACAGCAAGGCTGTAGCAATAGCAACAGAATAGGACTGATTGTAGCTGCCCACAACAGTTATTAATGTGCAAAAATGCAGATATGAAAGAGCCAGGGTTTAAGAAAATGTGAAGGGAAGCAAAAGTCCGTTTTACACACCGAGGTTCTCAGCGGCAGTTGTTTTGTGAATAACTCAATATGTGAACTTTAAAGTCTTATTATTCCTTCATGGCCACATGCACACTTATGTAACCAACATGGGTTTGTTTGTTTGTTTTTAAAGTCATTTACAGGACATGCAGCACTGATTCTGGAGCTGGAGGGAAAGAATGAAATTGAGTATTTCATCCTTCTCAGGATTAACAAGCTTTCCTGAACCTATAAAAGAGATTTCTTCTTTTGTACTTACCTTTCAATCGTTGTTGATGAATAGTGGCCCAGTGGGGTTATATATTATGTGTGTGTTTAAGTACATTTTATTTAATGTGTATATACATTTCCCAACATAACCCCAACATTTCCTGAAAAAAATGAGGAGTGGGGTTGGTGGCAATTCTATGTAATAGCAGCTGCTAGTCCCTACCGCAAAACCAAACCCTTCTTTAAACCTTAAAGCATTTTCCAGCAGGTTGTGTTAACAGAGGAAAGTGGAATCTGTAACAAAATGTTGCAGCTGTTAGGCAGGCAAGGAGATTTATTTCCCTCTTCCATTCCATTTCCCGCCCCACTCCGTTTTTCCAGGAAGGTAGTGAGATGGTTGGCTGCAGCAAAAACAAACATGGAATCTTATGGGATCTTAAAAATGAACGTGTTTTATTTGAAATACAGTACCTTTTTTGTGTGGAGTACAGTTCACTTCTTCAGGTGCATTGCTTTGGTAGGTAAGACATTTATGCAGTAATATGAAAGGTATGGTATCTTAAAGTGGATGGTGGTTCAGCACAAAGAACAAGCAAAGTATGCTTTTCTAATCTCTGCCGTCCCCTGCCAGGCTTCTCATTGGAGATGGGCATGAATCGCTGATTCAGCATGGTTTGTTTCCGAGCCAGACAGCTGATCTGTGGTTCAGAGCCCTGCCCTGCCTCCTTTGAGCGCATGCTGCTGAATGAGTGCCTACCAAAAGGGATGGGGTGCCGAACCTTGGATCAGCTGATTGGTCAGGAAGCAAAACCGTGCCAACTAGCCGAATCAGCAGTTCGTGCCCATCTCTACTTTTCATGCCATGAAAACAGTAACACTAGAGGTCTACATAGAGGAGGAGAACTGGTCACACCATTCTGAAGATGCAAAAGGCTACCCACAGCCCTTATTCTCTCCCCATGTGCTTTTTGTAAGCCATCTTCTTCAGCCCTTCGTTTGCTTTGATGACGGAAAGGAGCTGTATTAGGAACAGCAGTTGCTTTAAGTGATAGTAGTGCCTCCTGTCGAGGTTTCACTGTGCACTTGTTCTGCTTCGAAGAGGGAATTTTATTTGGACCCTAGCTATCCTCCTCCTCCGTTGTTAATGCTGCTGTATTGCCCACATTGCTTTTTGTTCTTAAACCACAGAGGATCCTTGGGTAGTGGAGATAGAATATCTGCAGACTGCTTTTCGATCTGCAGTGTCAGGAGTTATCCACGTGGACGCACCTTCAGTGGGCTGACTCTTGCTCTGTCATCAGGCTTCTTGCGACTACTACCTCCAAAGGGTAAATAAAACTATGATCAACATTCTACAAGTTCATTGGGTTCCTGTCAGGTAGTTTTTAGACTCTTGATTGTCATTTCCTTTTAATGTACAAGCCGTTGTGTATCTAGGGCAGCCATTTTCAACTGGGGGGGGGGAGTTGTGGGCCCCTGGCACATTTGAAGGGGCCACAGACTGGAAACAATTCTTTACACACCACCTCATAAGGTTCATTTGATCCTGATTTACACAATCCTGATTTGGCCTACATTTCTTTCATATTGTTTATGGCCATGGCCAAAAGGTTAAGAATGGCTGATCGAGGGTATAGTTTAAGTATATGGAAGCCACATACCACCACCTTGTTTCTGGGTTATGGCCATGGCCATGGCCAAAAGGTTGAGAATGGCTGATCGAGGGTATAGTTTGAGTATATAGAAGCCACATACCACCACCTTGTTTCTGGGTGTCCCCACTTCTTCCATGTGGAAAGGCACTCAACCATATACGTAGTCTGCTGTAAGAGATACCTGCAATTATCTTGGTATGGAAGGAGGAGTGCTTCTTTTCAGAACTCCCTCCCTTGGGGCATCCCATTCTGCGCCTTCACGTTGTTTCTGTTTTTCTGTTACTCTACACTGCTGGGCTACTGAACAGTCTCAGCTCCCACTGGATTCCTTTGGATTTTTTTAAATACTTGTACTACAATCCTGTCATGGCAGCACTCGCCAGATCAGTCTTAAAGCAACAGGAGTAGTAATGATGACAATTCATCTTCACGTAAGAAGTAGTTGCTGCCTCACTGTTTAATTGCAGATGGCTTCTTGCCAACTGCAGTGAACTGAAGTACGTAAGAAGTTGCTGCCTCACTGTTTAATTGCAGGTGGCTTCTTGCCAACTGCAGTGAACTGAAGTTTGTTCAAAATTTCTCATCCTTCAACAAAACGATACCAACATACTGCAATGCCCTACTGAAAAAATTGTCAACTGATGTAAGATTTTTTTTCAGTGTCAGCAGCACTAGCAAGAGGAAAAAAGTTAAAAAGGCAGTGATCTTGTTCAATATTTAGCTCAGCAGAGTTCCACCTACCACAGTGACCTGATGGTCACATGTGCCTGAGTAGGTGATCTAGTCAAATCTTCGCAGTTGGATGCTGGCCACTGTTATCTGTGGAACCCCCCTCCCACAAAACCCACCTTTCAACACTTTAAAAAAAAATTGGTAGAAGGGCCAAAGTGCAGGCATTGCATTAAATGTCTTGTACTTTCACCCAACGAAGAAAAATCTTTATACATTTTTCACTCTCACTTAGAAGGATGAAAGACAGATTTACGTGAGCAGTAGCTGGCCCTTTTCCTCAAGTTTCTTGGGGAGGGGGGCAACTATTCATCTATCTTGGCTGTTGGTCTGTGTATGTAGCAGAATAAAGTGATGGCCTCACAGAATGATACCAAGTGTTGCACATTGTTGAGTGCTGTCACCTTCATTGAGACATAACTTCCCTTCAGACAGAAAGCTAGCACAGGAGAGGAGGCAAGGCCATGATTCTGTTTCTCTTCAGGGCTGTTCTTCCTGTTTGTATTTGTTATGTGTGGGATCTTGTGAACATGCCACCACATGGCATCCACTCTACATCCTAAAGATTCCACCTACCTTCTGCTGTGACAAAAATATGCCCAGACAATGTTCAGTTATCTGAGCATATTATCTTATGTTGATTTTGCCTAGACTGCAATCTTGTTCTTGCCACAGTTATCAAAAATACTTCACTTTTTCCAGTATATATTGTGGATCTTTTTTTCAGTTCTACCACCCAAAAAACTTTTGCATATCTTGCATTTTAAACTGACAGCCTTCAAATTCCACATCCAGGACCAAAGCTTCATCCCTTCCTGCAACATGGCACCCAATTAAAATAAAAAAAATTAAAATCTGCTGAAGTTATCTTCACTTAGATCTCTCTTCCTTTGACAGTCTTTCTTTCCGAAGGACTATGATAACAAGATAAAGGCAAAGTAGCCAATTATTCAGGCTCACCTGTTGGCTCACAACAGATGGTAGCTCGACAAAGAGAAGAATGATTCTGCCTCTGAGATCTTAGATGTGGACAAAAACTACTGTTTGTCTGTCCCTGCTTCCCAACTGAACTGACAAGAATTCTCTCCTCAAAAGGATTTGCCTTTTATACACTTGATCGCACTCATAGCTCCCTTAATTTTGGTTTGTCAGTGGTCTGAGCTTTGGAGCCTTAAACGCTCTACTCCATAAGAGCTAGTTGGAATGGACTGGCTCCATTTCTTGGAAACAGCAGTCCTTGTTGGTAACATAAATGGTGCCACCATTAATGTTTCAGGGCATAAAATCCCACGGATGAGACATACACAGTTTCTCATCCCCATTATCTCCCAATCTCTCTTCAACCGCAGGCTGTCACCAATTATCACATTGCTTGAGCAATGTCAACCAACAGCAAGTCAGGGTACATAGGAAGTTTAGTGTATACTCAACAGTGACCTTGTCATAATTAAGACAAACGTACCTTGCTCTGTGTAGAATTGAGGTCTTTTAACAGCAGCTGAAAGCTTGGAAGTGGGCAATGGCATTGCACCCTTGTCACCTATATCATTCCATCTTTATGGAACAAACTCCTTGGCTTAAAACAGATGGCATAGGCCAGTATTGTGAACTATGGTTATTGCTAATCAGCACTTACTGATATAATTCATATCCGTAGGAGCAGGGACCCTTGTTAGTAGTAATGGGTATAGTCTTTACCTTACTGTTCACTTTGGTTTAAAGGGTGATCTGTAGCAAAGAGAGGATGTGTTCCAAAGAATTGCTGAAGATCATACATAGCCAATATAACTCTGGTTAGTGAATGGTTATAATTATGTATGACCTGGAAGGGGCTGGTGCAGACCTTTTAATGGTGGTGGAAGGGGTTTCCACAGATACTTGGTTTATTCAAAGGGAAATGTTTTAAACAGAATCTGCATTCCAACAGTTTCTGCCATATTTAGAATGTACACCTATCATCACCCTAAGGAGCTGGCTTAAAAAAAAGGAAAATGGTGTGTATTAGCATTTCTTAACTATCTTTATAGTATTTCCCCCCTCATATCTTCCTCACTGGACTTAGATACTCCAGAGCTGAACTGAAGGTGTGGTTGTGAGAAGGAAATTCCCATAGTCCACCTACTTCCTTTCCCTTCAACCTGCTGTATCCAAAGTTCTTTACAAAGTTGTAGAACAGCAGTTGCCAACTTGATGCACTCCAGATGTGATCAGATCACAATTCCCATCTTCAGGAGCAAAAATAGTTGTGCTGATAGAATAATGGGAATTGTAGTTTAACATAGAGGGGGAGCATCAGGTTGTAAAGGCTGCCTTAGAGGGTTTGCAACCTTTTTTTAAAGTTATATTCCGAAAATGCTCTTTTTATAATTATTTATTGTACAATGTATATACCTTTGAGTTAACTAAGATTATATA